CTGATGCACTGATGTGTAATTGAATACTTACCATATTTCAAAGTTTTATAGGGAGGTGCATTTAGTTTTCCATTATTGATGTTTCTAGTTAAATTTGAATGTATAATTTCTAGTTAAATGTGAATGTATAATCTGCTTTTTAAAAAATTTGAGTTAATGATTGTGTTATTGATGTATCTCAAAATAATGTTTTTCTACTATATCAAAACCTAAGTTATAATCAAAAAAGGAGCAAAAAAAAAAAAAACGTAAACAATAAAAATACTTTTTACAGTTTTTAGTTTTTAAATCGTTTTATCTCAAAATAAAAATTATAAGGTTCTTTCTCAATGTCTAAATAATTTTTTTTTATGTACCATATATGCTATTTTTATGTACCATATATGCTATTTTTATGTACCATATATGCTATTTTTATGTATCATATATGCTATTTTTCATGTACCATATATGCTATTTTCATGTACCATATATGCTATTTTTATTAGGTCAGGTAAACAAAAAAAAGCAATTGCTTTTACTCAGCAACTGCTCAGCTTTACGTAAATAAAAAGTTTTTTCGCTCAAATTTGTATTTACATTTGTTAATTGTTCGAATAGAAAATCCTGTAAACGTACAGATTCAATATTAAAAATGGTTGACAGACATTCAATATTGTTTAAATGTTTTCAATGCTTCTAATAGATACAAAAAATGAAAAAATTATCAACTGTGTAAATCAGTGAGTGTCAATGCTGACATCCCAATTTGAAAAAAATAATAATCAAGTTTGCTTAAGTTTTAAGGCACTCGTTGTTTGTGATTGTCTTCAACTACCTTTTTTCTGCATCTGCTCTTCTTGTATACCTATTTCCATTATTTTTATTTTTAAACTTCTATATTCTGTAATTAATTTTTTGCTGTAATTAATAGATAGACAACAGTTGACACTTTATTTACATTAAAATTCTCAAGCAGAGCAAGTTTTTGAAACATAATTTTTTGGAGAACAATAGCAAAATATATATCAAGCAAAATATAAAATAATATGTAACAGATGTTGTAAAAATGTATATATTTTTTTTAATACATAAAAAAAGGGAAAATCCTCTAGAAGAAAAGAATAAGTAAGTTATTTAGGGCGTTGCTAAGGATTAAGAAACTACATCAAATACAATAATTTTCTTTCTTTTTACTTTTAAAGCATATAATACAAGGCGTACTAAAATAACAGGCGCTCTTATTGCACAACGGCTTGAAAAATGTGGAGGCTGATTTAGTTAGCGGCAAAAGTAACTACGAATAACTTGTATCCTTACCAAAAGACTTAAAAATGCTCAGAAAATGTTGTGTTACTGGTTGTAACTCTAACTATGACTCAGTAAAAGATAAGACAACTACTTTCAGATTACCGAGAGACCCAGTAGAGCGTTTAAGATGGGTTAAAGCAATCCCAAAAGAAAATATACCAGACAAACATGACACTGTAGTTTGTGCAAAACATTTTCCACCAAACTTTTAAGTTATTAAAGTAAAAGGAAGAGAAAGATCTCCAGATTCATCTAGTGTATTCGAACAAATACCTAAGAGTTTAGTGCCAACTCCTCCACCAGAAAAAAAAAAACAACAACAAAATCCAAAAGCTCTGTTAAATCAATAAAAGGACATGACCTTTCAAAATTCGAAGAGCTTTACAAAATTGATTCATTTGAAAATTTTTGTAATTCGTTATCTCTAAAAAAACTTAATAATTCAGTTGTTTACTATTATTGTTTAAATAGCTGTTGTATTCAATCAAAAGAGCATAAAAACAATACTGGTTTTAATAACTTTTGTTTAATAGTACTTAATGACCTATCATATTAAGCCTAACATGCTGGAGTAAGATGTACTATTGCTTCCTTAGTTGAAATTCGTATTCATAAGTTCAAATGTTGGTAGCAAGTTCATGAGGCATTACGAAATTTTATTACCTTTGAAAACTCAGAAAAGAAAACAGTTTTAATTCAGCAGTTTTTAATTCAGCAGTTTTTAATTCAACAGTTTTAATTCATGCATGAGTAACATGAACTCAAGTAATACTCCTAAGCAAAAATATTCACCTGAAGTAATTGTTTGAGCTTTTGAGTATTTTGCACAGTCACGTAGTTTATACAATCAATTAAGACATGATTTTCAACTTCCTAGTATTGCTACCCTTACACGTTTAACTTCAAAAGTTTCACACTTTGATGATAATACTTTTATTTGTAGTGTTTTTTCAAAACTCAACAATGGTCAAAAACAATGTATACTATTATTAGATGAAGTTTATGTTAAACCTATGCTAACTTATCATGGAGGACAGTTGTTTGGTAAAGCAGTAAATGATGAATCAAATCTTGCAAAAACTGTATTGGCTTTCATGGTTGTATGTTTTTATGGAGGACCAAAATTTGTAGTTAAAATGTTACCAGTAATATATTTAGATGCAGATTTTTTATATGATCAAACTATTATCTTAATCAACCAAATACGAAGGCAAATGGAAAAGTTATTGCTTTAATTAATGATAATAAAAGAGTAAATCATGCATTTTTCAAACGATTTGATTGCATATTTCCATGGTTAACAACTGATGGCATTTTTTTACTCTTTGATTTTGTGCATTTAATAAAGTGAATACGAAACAATTGGATAACTGAAAAGTCTGGTGAAATTAAATTTAGTTATAGAGGAAAAAAATATAATGCTAAATGGGATCACATCAAAAAGCTTCAAAAGTTAGAAGGTGAATTGGTTAAAATGTCTAAGTTGACTAATGTTGCTGTTAACCCCAGGCCAATTGAAAGACAAAAAGTTGATACATGTTTAAAAGTTTTTTTTTAAGAGACTATAAATGCATTAAAGTGTCATCAAGGTATGAAAGATGATGATGTTGATGGAAATATTATTTTTTTGGTTTAAGGTGGTTCAACTTTGGAAAATAGTCAACGTTAAAAGTCCATCTGAAGGAATCCATTTGAAAAATAACTTACGAGATCCCATATCATCCGTTAATGATTTACGATTAAATGATTGAATTGATTTTTCTGAAATGTTAAAGCCAACATTGATTCAAGGAAAAAGAATTAAAAGTATAACCATGGATACAAGCAATGCATTATATCAAACTTGTAATGGTTTATTTAAACTAAGTAAGCATTTGTTAGACAGTTTTCAAATGTATGTACTGCTTGGAAATTTTACAACAGACACCATAGAAAAACTCAGACAAGGTAGTGGGGGAACTTATTTTATAAATACTCAACAAGTTGAATATCAACAAAACTAAACTATTTCTTCAGAAAACTATCAACATTTCAAGTGCTGAGTTTACATCTGGTCATACTTGTGATAATTGTTTTTATAAACTTTCAGAAGATGAGCGCAAGATTTTTAATCGTTTACATGATCTTTTAGACCAACTTTCATCGAATATTAAGTCAGTCTTTAGTTTAAATTGCAGGTTATGTTTCTAAAAAAGACGATGAAGATGATAACGGTGACACTTATCTGCATTATAGTAACTATGGAAATTTTACATCTGCCTTAGATCGTGGTGGTCTGAAAATACCCAGTGATACATTTTGTGAATGGGTGTTCTTAAGTTACATTTTGTTTAATTTTGTTGGCACATCAAACGTAGATATTCTATGTCATGTTTATTCATAGGTATTGCTTGTACTTATGATTTCACCATAATTACAAGAAACCATTGTTATTTTCTTACAAATATATTATTTAACAATTTTTGCTATATGCATTCACCTTCATCAGACAAGGAAACCAAAGTTAAAGTTTAAAACTGTTGTATTAGTTTTTGTTAATAAATATACCATAGAAAGTTTTAAATTTAACTTTAGATGATATTTCGTTTAAAAATTGTTAATTCATATATTTACTTTTTGATTCTTTCTGTTAATGTTTCATGTATGTAAATACATAGAAGTAGCTTGATTATCTTTTGTTATAGTCAGTTGTTTTTGAACTTACAAGGTGCTGATTTTTTTTTTACTTTCTTGACAAAATAACAGTTATTTTTGTTTTATAAGCGTTTTTGTAATAAAAATATTGACTTCTTTATTGGAAGATAAAATACTGTTTAGTAAACAATGTCATGGTTTAAGCCTTATATTCTTCTTATCTTTAGTTTTTTATTTAATTAGGTAATGCATTTAGAGAAATAGACTTAAATAATCAAACCACAAGCTCCTACTATATTCTTAAAAGAATTTTTAAATTGACATTTAAAACTGATAATTAAAAAAAATTGCTTAATAGTTGAGAGCATCAAAACAAAAAATATCAGCCTCCACTTTATTCAAGCCGTTGCGCGATGATAAGGCTTGTTATTTAAGTGCGCCCTGATATAATAGTAAAAATGTAATAAGGACTTAGTAATTCAATGTTTGAAATAACAAAATTCACAAAACAAAATTTTTTCTTGCGATTTTTAAAGGTGTACCATCTTAATGACGAAATAAATTAACTCTATTCAGGGCCAGTGCTAGAAGGGGTGGGATGTGTGGGCATAGAGGGACACTATCCCCATCCATTATACACACACTTTTATATTGCCAAACTAGGAACTTTAGTCAGAAAGTTAACTTTTTATTGATTAGCTGTAATTTATGGACAACGACAACATTCATTTCGTTTCCTTTTTAAGCGCGTACCTCCCCCTCCCAACTGTCATCTCTGTCAATTGTTAATTGAGATTAATTAGAAAAGCAAACATTAACTAAAAATATTTATTTAAATTAGTGCGTACATACTTTTATATTAATCTCTCTTCAATACGCTTTTGTAAACAATTTGCAGACACCCCCCTCCCCTATGAGCATACGTACTTTATGGACGACCCTTACAAATAGATCCAAAAACGTTTTGGATCTATTTTATTGCATAAAATAAAAACAATATTTTATAATTGGAGGACTCGCAACTATGATAGGAGATTCTAGTTTGCGGATACTTTTTTACTTATAAAAGTAATAAATTAAAAACAACAGAACTTGTTTTATTAATGTTCAACAACAAAAAAAAGATATTTAAGTATAATGCTCGTAACGAAATACTCACAAACTAACTTGGACGAGCAGCACCCATCTGCTTAAGAATTTGGACATTTTTTTTTTTTTTTTTTTTTGTATTCTCTGATGTACTTTATACCTTTGGTAAAGTATCTTGGATATAAGATTTCTATAAGACACGGCTATTGATTAGGAAAATTTTTTATCGTAAAAATCTTCAACTTTTTCTAAGAGATGTATTATAGAAGTAACTTCAATTGAAAGTAAATTCTGGTTGTTCATACGCTCAAGCATTAATCGCAATCTAATAAAACACGACATAATTTTATCTAATTGAATCGATATCTCTTTAATATTCCTGTCATCGAAATCTTCATCTTCATCATCTGAAGAACTGTAAGTTACCAATGGCGTTGCAGAGTTTATATTTTCAACAAGATTATTCGGTAATGAATTTTTATTTTTGCTATGGTTTTTTTCATAGTCATCAGTATCAAAAGAATTGACAAAAAACTCAAAATTTTCTATAATAAAAGATATATAAAGTTTAAAATAGTCTAAAAAATCCACCTCAACAGATACCAACCAATCAAGCAGAACAAGTTCGTCATAAAACAACGCATTTAATAATGTCGCAAACAGCAAATGAGGGTTGATGTATTGAAAATTCTTTAATTTTGTCAACTTTCTAGAAAAAAAAAAAAAAAAAAAAAAATTTTTTGTTAAAACTGATGCTAATTATTTTATCCTTCCTTCAAATCAAATTTAAAGAAGGCTATTCCATATTTCATAAGAATAAATATTAAAAACACTTAAAAAAAGACATTTCTTGTGAAAAAAAAATTATTTCGGAATATTTTTATGGCTTTAACTAAAAAATTTCTTGCGCAAACAATTTAAGCACATTTTAAAGCCAATAATCTTATTTGACTTTTCCTCAGTTTTTCGTTATACGAATAATAATAAAACGTTTTATTGTGCAATAAATTGTTTATTGAAGAATAAGTTAAAAACTTGACATTTTTAACTAAACTGTAGGTTCATCAGTTGTCGAACGAATATCATTTTTATTTCAAAACTTCACTTATAATATATATATATATATATATATATATATATATATATATATATATATATATATATATATATATATATATATATACACACACATATATATATATATATATATATATATACACACATATATATATATATATATACACATATATAAAGTTATAAGATATTTTCATAATAATAAAAAAAAGAAAAAGAAAAAATAACTGATTACCTGCTCTTTATAAATAAACAAAGCAACAGTTTTAAAATGAGAACTTGTTCATCATCTTGCTCGATGAAAGTATTTATCAAACTAGAAATCACTGATTTCGAATCATTAATCTTAGATAGTAAATTCAGGAACCTTTTTAGTATTAAATCAACTTCGTCTAAAAAAATAAAAAAATTGATTTTTTATCTAACTATAATACAAAACGTTTCATTTTTATTAAAAGTTCAAACATTCAAGTTTAAAGTCTCATAACCATAACAACTATAGGAATTTTAAAAAAATAAAAAAATAATAATAAATTTCATTTTTAGATATAATCTGTTTGCAAACTAATAGCTAATTTCTTGTATCTGATAGAACGGTTTTGTTTGTGATCCTTTGTATTTATACGAAGTTATATATGCTATACAAAGCTATATGTTTTGTTAACTGATAGAACGATTCTGTTTTGTGATGCTTTGTAAAATTTTGATCTATTTTAATAAATCAAGATTTTAAATATTATAACTTAAGTTTATTATAATTAACTAAAAAGAAAAATTATACTACATTAACATGAACAATTATAATACACTAACATGAATAAAAAAACATCAAATAATTTTCTATAGATACTTTCGATAAAAACATTTTAATTTCTGATTTAAATGGTATACATATCTACCTAAACAAAAGACAAAACAATTTAAGAAAAAGTTGGTACAAATAAATATAAATTGAGTATAAATATATATTAAGTAGCAAAAATAAGATAAGTTCTAGAGATTTTTTTAAAAATATTTTACTTTATTCCTATTTTGGGAAATTGTTGGCCATCACATATGTATCATGTTTCTTGATATTATGTTAAACATTAAAAAGATTATTTAGAGATTTCTGTATTCTCGAAGAAAAAAAAACTCTACATTTTCAGAAAGTATAGGTCCTTAATTATTTTTGAAATTCAGGGATACCTAGTATTGACCTAGCATAAGAAACACCTGGGCTATTTTCTGTGAATTCTCATTCTTGATGGTTTCTATGGCTTTGAGGATTTTAATATGGTATTTAAATATTTCCTCCATGCTAATATAACTTATAGATCAAGGATGCTAATTTTTCTTTTTACATATTATTGTTACAACTCATATATATATACACACACATTATATCAGGAATCAGGAAAACATAATTGGTGTGGGGAAAAAAACTAGATGAGTAAAAGTTTTTAGAGCATGCAGGAACAAATACAATAAAAGAACGAGACTTTGCTGAATGATGAGCCAAGCGAGAATGAGTTTTGGTTGATGGAACTAGAGATGATACCTCCTTTGAGCAGCAAACATGATAGTATTTGTAAAAAAGAGAAAAAAATGCAACTTTATGACGATGGAAGAGAGGCTCATTCCAGATGGTTTGGAAAAAAAGAAAATAATAGTAGTCTTATCCCTAAGCCCTGAAGATTACATCATATTTTTACATTGCAGTTATTTTATAAGATATATTTCTTTAATACTTTCAAAATTTACTTGAAATATATTTTAAATAAACAAAAACAAAAAATTATGACATAATTTAATAAAAACACAATTAAAATCTCAAGGTGTACAAAGTAAAATGGATTAGAAAAAAAGTTTTTAATAAAAAATAAATTTTTTAAAATCAAAATTAAAAAAATAGTTATTAGTTAAAGTAATCAATAATTATTAACAGTATTATGCATTATTTTTATACTGATTTAAGTTAATAAAAAGAATAGAAATAGGCAATCCAGACAGCTTGTTTGCAGAAGAAGATTATCAATAGTAAGAAATTTTAAGTTTTAATTTAAATTTTGTTAAGAAAAATAAAAGTTTTGATGTTGTTATTAAGTTTGGTATTTCATAATTTGGGTCCTCTATTTGCAATAGAGAATTCGATGACCATATAATATGTTTTGAATTATATGTGGTTCTGAGTCAGGGGTGTACTCTTATCATTGTCCGGCGGCACGGGACAACTCATTTTCTCCAAGGGCGACTGAAATTTTTAAAAAACGCCTGTCAGGGCAAATTTTATTAATAAGCACACTTTTGTTACTTACAAAAGTGTGCTTATTAATAAGCACACTTTCAGCCGTGGCGCAGTGGTAGCGCACTTGCCTCAGAAACAAATAATCCGTGGTTCAAACCCACCTCTGGGCAAGTCTTGCAACATCGATTAGGAAGGAGGCATGAACTTTCAATTAAATGCTCATCAGCGGTGCTCTGTGATAAGACCGTAAGGACTTCTTGGGACACCTAAATCAAATTAAAAAAAAAATAATAATAAAACTATATTTTGATCTTTAAAATTTTTTTTCCTTTTTGTTTTTTAAAAGAAAACTTTAAAAAGCATATAAAGTAGTATACACTACTGTGCAAACTTACATTATACTACATAAAAGAGCTGACACGCTATTTAATATTTCGAAGTGCAACAGTTTTTTAAACATTGTTGTTGCATTTTGAAGCACCTTTTTTCTCAATTTAAATTGAGTTTTTAAAATAACATTTTCTTTAATTTCCAAATGCTATTGTATCATTTTTTTAAATTTATAGTCGCATTTTGAATCATGTGAATGGGCAGTTGAATCATTAATAGCACTGAACCACTTTTGTTTTTCATTAGTTAAATAAACCTTTTTAAACTTTGTATGAAACTTTTTAAAATTTACTTTTAAATTTCTTTTTAGATATATTTTAGTAGTCAAACGTTTAAATTTTTTTTCTTCATTATTTTCACCCAAGACAAAATACAAGAAAAAACTTTTACACTGGACTACTGATTATCATAGCGAACGACTCAAATGAGAAATAAAATCTGTTTCAGTTACCTGCAGGGCGACAAAATTTGCTGATAGTAACACATAATATATGAAAATGAAATGATTGAGAAATACACACCATGATTTTTTGTTTTTGTTTTTGTTTTTATAAATTGAATCTTAAACAAATTATTTTGACAGTTTCTGGAAAAATATTGTTCAAAATATTTAGGGAAAAACTTTTTTTAAAATTTCTTGAATACTACCATATTAACTAGCTCTATATACTTCAGTTACAATTATTTTCAATTAGATCACAGAATAATGGACAACTTAGTTGGTTTAAAATAATATATCAAGATGTTAATACATTGTATGAAATTTTAATGTTAATCAGTAATAAAATGTTAATCAGTATAAAAATAACTAAAAAACATAAACATAAAATGCAGTTACAATAAATATACATGCAAAACTATTTAAAACTATTAAATATTTACCTAAGTTATTCACATCTGGTAACTCAAACAACATAGTTTTAACTCCAAACAAAACTAACTTTCGAGCTGTGTTTTCGTCAATACAAGTAGAGTTCTTTTCAATGAATGTAGTTGTAAAATTGGATTTAACCACTTTAATATTGTCTATAAAATCAAGTCTTAAATAACAACTCACATTAACACAAAATTGTTTTAAAACATGATCATAAAGAAAGTTGTTTAAATCAGGTATACCAATGGCAACTTTAAAAATTAATTTTACAACATACCTCCAAACTAGATGCTGTTTTTCTTTAGTTATGAATGTCATGTTGTTGCACCCTACATTGCACTCTACATCACTCGTATTAACTAACCGATAAACTAATTCATTTAGGGCTTTAAAAAGTTTATCAATGAACATAAACTCTAAATTATCTGTATTCAGAGAACTCAATTTCACTTTGTGATAAATTTTGAATACTAAAGTACAACATTGCAATATTAATATCAAATCATGTACATCAATAGTTTCTTTGAGATCCAACAATGATATACATAATTGATTCACCTGATTGATATATTTACTGTATCTATGAAAAAGTTCACAAAATTTAGCAGCATCCATTATAGAGCATTTTTTAAACTGCTTATATATTACTCTGAGGATATGGATGCTAAGTTCAACATTTTGGAGTTCGTCAAAGCTGATATTAACAGACAAAGTTGTTTCTGGAAGACGTTTAAAAATCATTGACATAAACTTCACAGCAGTATAGCTTATAAACTTATCTTTATGCTTTACAAAGTTAACAGCCTGCTGTATAACTTTAGCTGAACAAAAACTTTCACAAAATTCAAGATCAACTAGATAGCTATCAGGAAGATTTTCAAATGCATCTATTGCGCAACTTAAATTGATTAAAACATCATTGCCAGTATGAATTTCATTCCAGTTTTTCAAAAAACAATCCATTAACATTTATTTTTGTCAACTTTCTATTATTTTAGAACTGCTAAAGTAATTAAAAAAGCTACTAAACTACTACACTAATTAATCTTGAACAAAAAATACTTATACAATTATTTATTTAATAAATTTTCATAACATTGTTTTTAACTATTTTCATAATATTAAATTATATCATTCAAACTTTATTACTCATATTTAAATAAATATATCTAAACAATTCCTTTTTAGAAATATATCGATAACCTTCAACATGGTCAGAAATTTGTAATATTAGGATGTTACTTTGTTTATTTATTGAGTTATTTACATCCTATTTTAAATATATACATTTAGACTTTATTAGTCCATTAGTCTAACATCCTATATTAAATATATATACATTTAGACTATATTAAATATATTGACTTTTTTAAACAGACTTTACCAACACAATAAACAAACTGCTTCACATTTAACAAATACGTTTTTGTATATTTAAAGAAATAAGAACTTATGCAAATTAAAACAAAAAGAAAAATTGGAAATAATCGAAACCTAATTTTTTTTTTTTACTTTATAAACAACATTTATTCATTAACATGTTTAATTCATACTATTGAAAACATTTATTAACAATTCACATCTGCTTGAATTAGTCATGCCAACATGTCCGCACATAAAATTTTATTTCCATTAACAGTTGATTATACATTAGTCAAGACCATCATTATCTTCAGTTACTTGAGCAGAAGCTTGTGAAGGTGAGGGCTGTAAAAATATAAAAATATTTACCAATAAAATGAATATAAAAAACAAATTAACACATTAAACATATACACAAAATTAAAACCGGCGTCTATTAATCTTCTTTAATTTTATAATCATTTTAGTTGTTCCAAAATAATAAATAAAATCAGTATTTTATATAAACTTTATTTTTTAAACTTTATATTTTTTATAAACAACAAGAAAATGAAATTGAAGGCACAGCTATGTTAATAAAATCCATCAGGTATCACGAGGTAATTCATTTTTTAAAAGATGCCTAACATTAAACTTTTTGAATTAAGCAGCCGGGTTTTTTGTCATTTATATTAAAATGTTGCAATTATTATTTTAAATTGTATTTCAGCATTTATCAAATTTTTTGTTTAATGGTTTTTATCAATTTCAAATGAATATTTTAGCTTTTAAAACCCCTTAAAAGTTTTAAAATCTTTGAATAATCTTTGCTTTCACAACAATCATTAATAAAATAATAACTTTTATTAAATAAAGTAAATTAACATAAATTTTTAATTTGTTCCTCTATTTTTTTTAAATAAAAAAATCATTTGTAGTTGCAAAGCCACAATTAGAAATTTAAGAAATAATCATTAAAAAATTCAAAAATATTTTAATTCATTTATGCAAATGTCGAGAAAAGAAAGGAATTTGTTAATATCAAATATTTTTTTAAATGTGTTTTCTGAAATTCTAAATGGGCCTCTAAAAAAACTTTTTTTTGAGTTGATTCATTAAAGCATTGAGGCTTCAATGTTAACCAATAGGTTAGATTTTGAACAGATAGAATTTACAAATGAATGAGACCTTATATGATTATACCTTTGTCTCTTTATGTCTTGTGAACTTAAATTTGGCTGTATGAAACATTTTGTTAAAACAATTTGAAAACTGATAATTACCTTCACAACATAGCATTGCAAGGTTTGTTTAGAGAGAAAAAAGCAAAAGTTGATGCAATACATTCACAACCTTGTGAATAAAAAAAACTTATTTGGAAATAAAAAAGAAGAAAATTATGCAGATATAGTAGTTGAATGTGGAATGACTTTGGTGATCATGGATGTGTAAGTGTAAAACCTTATTCTATATCTGTTCCCAGTCTCTTTAAGGCTTAGGGTTACTGACACCTTCAAGATCATAAAAAAATTAACAATCTTGAAGTTGTAAGTGTACTTCACATAATTTTTGCAATTTAAAAAAACATTATCTAGTTCTAAATCAAATATGTGTTAATAATATATATATATTTAAAAATATATATGTATAAAGCAAATATCTAAAAATCACAAAATAAAAAAAAACTAAAAAAAAAACTAATTGATTTTTGACCTGCATTTTTTGCATTTGCATGGCTCCGTATAAAGCTATATTTTGAACTAGACTTTGAAATACATCAGGTGGCAGTGTTTGTTTAAAGACTTGCAACAACTGTTGAGGTTGACCACATACAACTATAGCATTTGTAAGATGTTTAACACAATTGTCATAGTCCTGCATAGACAAGCACTCTTCTCCTTTGCTTACTTCATCAAGAAAAAACTTTTGGACAGCTTCTTGATCTTTCATATCAGGTAAAACCTAAAACACACATTGTCATTTAAAAAAAATCAATTCAATTAAAAAAAAAGAAAAAAAGAAGCGCATCTAATTAATATTAAAAAAAGAAAATAATCCAAACAACTATTCCTCGTAACACTAAATTTTATTTTGTTAATTATTCTAGCTTCATTTATAAATTTAATATCAAGAAAATCACCCATTTAATAATAAAATTAAAATAATACTTCATTTTTGCAAAAAAATACTTAATATATTTTATTACTAAATAAATCTTACCTCTTGGACCAATACCTATGCTAACAAATAAATTATTAACAACAATTTTATGACTGCAACATCAAGCGCTAAGTAACCAAGTCATAAAACTTGCAACAATTAAAAAAACTTATTATAGCATAAATTATAATATAAAATTTGTCCAAATAAAATTCTTTTACAAAATTATCTCTTTTTGTAGTTGAAACAAATGCTTATATAATAAACTTACTGAACTAGAACTATCATCATCAGCAGATTTTTGATTTTTCAAACGACCTATAAATGAATAGATGAAGAAATAAACAATGTATTAACTGTAACAATTTTTAATTAAAAAAAAAACCAACAGATAAACCAAGCAAAATTATTTTCTATGATCCAGATCAAACCAATATAAAATACAGATATTGCAAATGAATAGCACGCAACATAAAGAGGCCACTCAAATTCATTGACAAACAACATTACACAGTAGGCACAAAATGTAAACATTTAAAAGTATTAATACATATTAAAAAGTAATAACACATTTTTTATACTAAAACATGTCTTGTGCCCACTGAGTATGTTTTAATATCTGAGCATGTTATTCATAAAACTCTAATCAAGCATAGCATAGTAAAAGATGCTGAATCCTTACAAAAAAAAAGGTTATATTTTAGGAAACCGGAAAACAATTTGTAAAAAAAAACTAGAAAAAAATTTAGAATTTATTTCCCATAAATTAGCTTTAAGCCAATGCCAGTAAACTATGGGATATAAAAAAAAAACATTTATAATTGATTGATGAATTATATCAAACACTGATATAATTCATCAATCAATACGTCTTTTTTCAATCTTCTGTATATAAAAACAAGCTTTTCTGCTTTTTTAACTTCTTTCATTAACTTGGTTCAAGTCATATATGTAAATATACACACACACATACACAGATATATATATATATATATATATATATATATATATATACATATATATATATATATATATATATATACATATATTTATATATATATATATATATATATATATATATATATATATATATATATATATATATATATATATATATATATATATATATATATATATATATATATATATGTATATTTATATATATATATATGTGTGTGTATATATATATATGTGTGTGTATATATACATATATATATATATATATATATATATATATATATATATATATATATATATATATATATATATATATATATATATATATATCTCCTCAGAATTAGGGTTGGCATTCGGCAATGTCAACCTGAGAATGTCTAAGATCGGAATTTTTTTACCAACCTCATTTTTTTTATGTTGTTGCGGTGAGAATATAAATTTTCTTAAATTATTATTAATTTAATTGGTACGGTTATAATAAGTTTGTAATAAAGCTAGAACAAACATGATTTAAATTGTCATTAAAATTCGTGTAATTCGTTGTTAGTGAAACATGAAATACGTTACAAAATACACATAGCTCATTTTTAGTGAAAATTTTATTTTCACAAAAAAAAATTACACTGTATAATTAGTTAGTGTAGCACTAAAAATATTATGATGTTTCGTGAAGGAAGTGGCGCAGGTTTAAATAATATTGTTGGAAATTTCTTTTTAAATTTTTTGTAGTTTTGTGCATATTAACTATTACTGTTGTTTATTAAAGTTATGTTGATATTAATTATTATTTTTTTAAATTTAATTATGTGCGTGAATGTACAAACATCGACAGACCTGCTCTGCCCATACATGCAAGGTTGTGCGGTACACAAGGCCGCAAAGGCACCAGAGAAGGGCTGTGGAGTTGGAGTTGCAACATTTTTAGCAGGGTAGGATTTGCTAAACAAAATAGCGACTCCGACTCCAATAGTAAAATTTCTCGGAATTGCACGTGCGTTTACAAATTATTCAATTAACCTTATGTTCATACTAAACCTCAAAGAACATTTCATAAATTTGTCAAAAAAAATTTTTTTAATTATTGCGTAATATTTTTTAAAGAATTTTACAAAAATTTTTTTTTGGAGTTATAGTCGGAGTTGAAGTCGGAGTCGGAGTTGTACTCAAAAAATTTCAACAACTGGAGTCAGAGTCAGAGTTGCATTCAAAAAATTTTAACAACTGGAGTCGGAGTCTTTACTTTTTTTTTTCACTCCACACCCCTGCACCAGAGGCGCTAAAACTCGTAAAAAAGATGGATATTATGCTTCCTCATTATATAAAATATTTTGTCAAAGGAACAAAAAACAGTTTAAAAAATTAATTTTAAGGATAATGTGAACAAAAGTCTTACTCATTAAACAACTGTTCGCTGATTAGGGGGAAAATGAAATGCAAATAAAACTGATAACATTGGAATGACTTCAACAGTCATAGAAAAACAAACCACTACTGTTATGCATATTCAAATTATATTAACTCGTCAGTCAAACCAATTATTAAAGAAATTTCAATCAGCACATTTTTTAGTTGCAAAAAGAAAAGGGTTTAGTTTTTACTCTGCATTGGCATGCTTTAAAAAAGAAGTTCATAAAGTTGATTTAGGAGATTTGGGAGATATAAAGTTGATTGGGGAGAAACAGCTTTAAAAAACTAGATTCGCAAGTTACATTTAAATAGACAGCGTGCAGACAAAGAGATAGGACTATGTACTGATGGGGTCCCAGTTAATATAAAGATGTATCATCTTATAAAAGAAGAAATAGGAGATCATTACCAAATAATTTTGTGCCCTTGCCATAAAATTGAACTTATCTTGCATGATGCGTTTACAGGATTGCAAATTAATTGTGATGTTGAAAAAGATTGCGCAAATATTTACTACTTTTATAAACGAGCAAATTTAAAATGGCAATTTTAATTTAAACGACAATCACAATTCATGAACATTATTTCCAACACTTTGCACATTTTTAAAAGATGTGAAGGATTTTGGATGGTGCGCTACTTCAATGTGCAAAGTTTTTTACTGGCATTTTGGAAAAACTAGATGAGTCACTTTGCGCTAGGTTTCAATCTGCTACTGAAAATATGTTATTTAACACTATAGCCTCTTTTCTAGACACTAAGTCATACATAATAGCAGAATTGTCTGATGAAATTCTTAACTTTGTTAATACTATTATTGATATATTTAAATCTATCTTGTTAGCAAACAAATGTGATTTAAAAAAAATACTAAGTGAAGTTAAAATATTATATGAGCATATCAGGTGTTTTTTAGCTCATTAAGGTCCTCCAAAACTTTGGCATGCAATATTTTTATCTAAATATGAGCTAGGCATTTCAAACATTTTTAAATAGCTGAAATTTGCATTGCATAAGCTATAATTATTGCAGAGTCAGAGCGTGTATTCTCTTTTCTATGAAAGATATTTTCTAAAACTCACCAATCATTATCTAATCAAACTTTAGAAGATAATCTATAGCTCAGATGTAATAGAGACTTCTGAAAGCTGTTATAAATGTGCAATTGAAATGTATTTAACAGAGTATCCTGATGGAGTCAGAAAACGAGTTCGTCAACCAGACGGTCAATTGTATCCAAAACAACGTGCTTCAAACAACTCTAGTCAGGAAATAATAACACAATCGTTAGAAAACATTACTTCATCCGAAGAAGAACAATCTATTGAAGACATTGACATTAGTTTGTACTCTGATGAAGAATAGTCATCATCTGACGAAGATGCTCTTTTATGAAATATAGATTCTGACAGCAATAATTTTATTTTGAAACTATGTTTTAGTTTTACTTTGAAAATTTTTTAGCCAACCTGATGCCGACCTGAAGTGGTTTTAGGTTGGCAATTTTTTGCCAACCATATTTTTCCCTAACTCCGAGGGTTGTATATATAAATATATATATATATATATATATATATATATATATATATATATATATATATATATATATATATATATATATATATATATATATTTGAACGGCAAGATTCTTTCTTGATTTAGGAATAGTTTTTGTTTATATTATATTTTTTATTTTTTGTATATAAAAAATTATTTTGTTTTATGTTTTTGAATGATACTTACCTCTTCACATTCAGATTTTTTATACCATTTAAGCATCTCAGTGCATTTTCTAAGTAAGACGCACACACATATATACATAGTTTTAAAGCTTCAATTATGTCATGCAACCTACACATTTTTTACATAGTCCTAATTGTTTCATATTACCTTTTACCCCTGTACATTTTTTATCAGACAAGATGAAAAACCGTGTCTTCTGAGGAGGCGATTTTATTGCGTAATGAAAAGCTTAATTGTAAAGTAATTGTAACTTTACTCAAAATACATATCAATATTGTTAAAATTTAAATTATGTCAGTTGAGTATTTTAAAGTACCACATTGTAATTAAATTAAATTTGAAACCATGTTTAAAACCATTTAATACCTTTAAATTAAAATATACTGCTGTAAAAAAAAATTACCAATGAAATTTAAATGTTATTTGAAAAAAAAAATTCCTTATTTTAAAAGAATTATACTTCCTATTTATTTTTTAAAACATTTATAAAAATATTATTGTCTAACATTTGCTTTCTCACAATTTTTTTTTTTTTTTACTAGTCATAAACTAGTTAATCATTTCTAATTGACATTCATTCTATGATAAATCTAAAAAATTAATGATAATGAAAAAACTTTTGTTAAAAAGTGATTTCGAAACTAAAAAAATCATTTTCTCATAAATCATTTGTTGTATAAAGTTTACTAAAATAATGCATTCATATACAGTTATAAGCATTAAGCACTTTTGTATTTTGTGTAGCACTTTCATAATGAGAAAAAAACTTATTGATTTACAACTATGAATAAATAAACAAAATAGTTGAATGTAAAACAAACATAAAAAAGTATCTAGAATATGATAAAAAATATGATAAAAAGAATTTTTTTTTTCTTTAACATGTAAAAAAAAAAAAAAAATGTAAGAGCATTTTACTATTTTACAATACAAAGCATTTTAAATAATAAAATTTGTTTTTAATTAAATTCAACAAAATAATTTTAAATTTGTTAATATTTGGTGACAAATTTCAGGCCTTGTGAAGAAGCCTTATGCAGCTCGCAGTTTACATACGAAATGGTAATTTGCGCTATTTTATTGGTAACTATAAATTGTTTATAATCTTTATTTAAAATATTACCTTATATACATAAAAAATAAAATAAATAAATTGTGATAAACAAAAGATTGTTGAGTATAAGATTGTTTTAAGAAATAAATTATAAGGAATTATAATTTTTCTGATACAAAACTTAAATTTAATCAGTAATTTTTGGTGAAATTGGTTTAAATGATTTTTTACGCTGTTTAAAACTTAATTTAACTACAATGCAAATTGAAACTGAAATTGAATTTAAATATAATACAATAAATTTAAATTAAAAATTTTTTAAAAATGAAAAGTAGAAAAAAATTCATTTAACAATTTGTTTTTTTATCAAAAAAAAAAAAAAAAACAGATGATTTTCGTACATAAAATGCAAAAAGCGTAATGCTTCTTAACAAGGCCTATATATATATATATATATATATATATATATATATATATATATATATATATATATATATATATATATATATATATATATATATATATATATATATATATATATATATATATATATATATATATATATATATATATATATATATATATATATAGGCCTTGTTAAGAATATATATATATATATATATATATATATATATATATATATATATATATATATATATATATATACAAATAGTATTGCGTACTAAGGTAAGCAATCTGACGTCATACTGAAATAGCCTGTTGCTGGGGGCTTATAATATATATATATATATATATATATATATATATATATATATATATATATATATATATATATATATATATATATATATATTATTATTACTATTATTATTATTATATATATAATATTTAGAATAAAATCAAATTGGACTAGTTAAACTTTTGACTTGTTGGACTTTGATCATATATATATACATATAAAATCAAAGTCAAAACAGCTCACTAAACCTGAAACTGATAAGATATTTTAAAGGAATGACACGTATTTATAACACACAACTGTTGTTGCTTTTAAACTATTAAATTGTTTCATCTAAATTTTCATTAACTTTGTGTTTGTTAATTTTTTTTTTATTCGTGACATTTGTTTTGTTATTAACATTTAATCATACAAGTCATCAACTTTAATACTCTTTAACATTGTTATATATATATATATATATATATATATATATATATATATATATATATATATATATATATATATATATATATATATATATATATATATATATATATATATATATATATATATATATATATAATAAACTACAATAAACAATACATATACAACATATACAATATACAAAATATACAATAAACTAAATTTGATCTTTGATACAGAAAATAATACCAATCTTGAAAATATTGTAAATAATTTTTAGTAATAGAGCGGATAGATGAAAACAAGACAATTTATTTATATAGAAAAACCAGACAAATCTAAAATTAAAATTTGGTAAAAATCCAAAACTCTTTTTATAAAACTTATATAGACAAAATTCTGCAGATTTAAGAAAAAATTCAAATATTTTGTAAAATTTGTTGGTTTTGCATAAAGTTTTTTTATAGTACACATGGAGCACGTTATTTTGCTAAAAAACCCCGTTACATGCAATAAGGTATGAATAATTTATAACTTACGTTCTTTTAGTTTTTGCTTGAAAAGTGGATCACATCTACGTTTCCTGTCAAAATACAGACAGTAGCCAAGGAAGGAAACACCAGCTACTCCAGCTGCAAGAGTTGCTATTTGACTATAAGTTGTCATAGTTATAAAAAGTTATTTTACAGGAAACTTACAGCTGGAACGATCGCTGAAAAAATTGTGTGCGAGTAACTTATTCGGAGATGAAACTTTTTTTACTTGGGACTTATAGAAATATTTTAGTCCGCCTCTTACTTGTTTTAGCGGTTTTTTACCGATAAGCAAATAACCAGCGGTTATTATATCTGGTTATGTAATCATTTGATACTATTTACAAAGTTGTAGCAACCGCAAGAATAAAATGAATTAGAAAATAAGAATGTGCTAGTGCAAAATTATTTTTGGACCCCCTCCTTACGACGATTATTTTTTAAAGGCAATCAGAAGGTAATAATAATTATCAGGCTTATAAGAAGCGAGTGCTTCTCAACCAGAGAGGCTCAGAAATATTTAAAGGAGCTGAAAATGTTATTATTTAAAATATTATTATTTCTTACTAAACATATTTCAGTTTTTTGTATTTATAAAAAATATATAGTGAAATATAATTGGAGTTCAGCTTTAAATACGGTAAAATGGGTTAAACTAAAAAATTTCTGATTTTTCCAATAAAAAATGAAAATTTCTCATTTTCCAATAAAAGCCGGCCAAATGCCAGTTTCTGGGCATTTGGCCGGCTGTGTGCTAGTATGTATGGCCGCCCTTCGATGGCGGCCATACATACTAGCACGCAGCCGAGGACAAATATCATAGAGATTTGAGGACAAATATCAAAGAGAAAAAAATCAAATTTTAATTTTTAATTTATATTTACAAAATTACATGTAACATTAACATATACATTTTAAAATGAAATTAAAAATAAACCCGACGCGATTTTATGAAAGCAAATTGTTCAATCACTTCTTGAATATTTAAAGAACCAGCAATGTCACTTTCTATTGCAATAGTTAAAACATTACTAAGACGTTCTTGTGTCATGGATTTATTTTCAATTTTCAGAAACTTTGCTCTCCTGGAGCAACGTAAACTGGACCTATTAGAAAAAGTTTTAAACTCGTGGCGACATTTGGAAAAGACGCCTCCAAATTGTATTTATAAATAAAATCTTTGACGCTTTTTGTCAAGGAAATTTGATTAAACGGGTGAAAGTTGATTCGTATTTCCTAGTAAACAAAGCTGTACTTAAATGGTTGAAACGTATGAGACCTGATAATGTACCAATGCTTGCTGGTAAAATAAAAAGCTTTATACTTTGCAATAAAGTTATGCTTCGGAAGGATGGCTGGACTAATTTAAGAAAAAGCATACATAATATTTATTGCTTTTAGGCCTAAGAATTACTATTTGTTTGTTTGCTTGATTTCTATTCGTTAATTTGAAAAGAATATTTGAAAAAAAAAATAACTTTCTATAATTCGAAAAACTCTCTTTTATTTTTGCCCATAAAATTCGATTTAGATAGATTGTACTGTTTAAATATATAAATAATATAAATAAGTAATTTACTTATTTTATTAATTTTTTGGTTTGTTTCTGATTAAATATTGATAAAATGTATATCAAAAATTATTGCTTTTACTAAAACATAAAAAATTTAATAAAGAAATATCTTTAATTATTAGTAAATACTTTTTAATGATGCACACTACACACACAAAATATACAGAAATGAGCATGTGAGGTAAAATTAAAGAAATAGTATATTATTAGCATTGAATTTACACATATAAACTCAATGGTATTAGTGTGGGTAGCACATTCGCTGCAACTGGCTCCCACTGATAGGCGCCGGCGCCGCGCCGGCAGCATTCTAAGTGGCATGTGCGCAAAAACAAAATAAACAGTTTAATTAAAGTAAAGAAAAAAATTAATAGCATCAAGAAAGTGGTGATACTGAAATTTTACGTAACGCATAAAAAAACATTCCTGTATATGAAGAAAAATACAACAAAATTTAAAATGATATGAATTTTTATTTCACCGTTTTATACTAAATTTTTCAAATATAATCAAGGTATCTGAAAGAAGATCGCAAAGATCAGAAAATAACCTTAAATAAGCATTTAACAAAAATAAGATTTAAAAAAATGATAAACTTTTACAAAATTGCAAGGTAAATAATCTGTGTCTGAAGAAAGATCAAGAGGATCTTCTCATCAGAATTTTATGTTACATATAAATTAAAAAGTAAAAAGTATAAGAACAATAAATAAAAGAAGTAGGAATAAACTTCTATAAACGTAAATATGAATATAAACAATCAAAAAAGTAGACCAAAAATATATATATATAGTATATATAATATATAGATAATATTGAGTTGTTATTATTCTCCCATCTATGTCTTCCCCCGGTCCCCCTAATGCCAGTCTGACCCTGCTAGGTCGTGTTTTTATGTTACTTATTTTTATAATTGAACCATAACATTTTATCAATAAAACAATTTGTTTTATTATTTATACAGTAAAGAAAAAATGAAATTGGCAACAAATAGAATAAATTTATATTTTAAGTGTGTTGTGCGATCTGTATTGTACAATAGAGACACACACAATCGTAGCTACTAACTACAATGTTAAAGCTTTTTAAAATTTTAAAGGAAAGTATTTCTTAGAATGCAAAAATCTTTTTAATTATAACTACAAAAATATGAACAAAACATGTCGCAAAGTAATGTTCGTTGTGGCAGTGTAATCTGGTTAGTAGTATCGCCTAAATTTAAAATGACATTAAGAAACCACTGACTAGCATAAATGTTTTAAATTGTATATAAACCGCGCTTTTAAATTTAAAATAATTTTGTTTTCTTGAAAGTATCAAGTCAACCAGGAAAAAACGTCCGGAATCCCCACTAAGATCGCGACACGCATTGCGGGACTATCTTATATTGCTATGCAATTTTTTTATTTCAGACAATTTACTTTTATGCTACAAAGTACATTTGTATGCTACAAATAATGATGTTTTAAGCAATGACTAGTTTCTCAGCAATAAAGGTATCACAAAAAGGTAAGCAAGTGCAGCTTGTAAAATTTAATAAAAAACATGAAATTTTTACATTAATTCAATTCAAGGTAGTTATGTATCATTAAAAGAGCTTTTGATTTAATATTTTAAATTATCAAAATTCAACTATTCCACAAAAAGTTATGATATTTTATCTAACGTTTTTTTTATATATACATGGTTTTGATGGGAAAATTGTGGTTAAAATTACATTTTTTTTATTACTAAAATTTATATAACATTATCAATTCTTGTTTAAATGCTTATAACTTGGTATCAAAATATAGCTGAATAAGCAACCTATAAATTTATATTGGCCTCTAGCCACCGGGCGTTTTCGGGAAGCTTGAGGAAGAACCCAACCACCTTCTTTGCTGGCAATAAATGCATATTTTATTAATAAGAGTGTGTTTTAATAAAGTTGATCGTTTTTATATGCATGATGTAGTTGTAATTTGCTTTCAGACCAACTCCAAACGTGAGAGATTCTTCTTTGACTTAAATGGGATGATAGTATATTTATATATTTAAGGGGCTGTGGCGCAGTAGTTAGAGCGCTTGCTTTAGAAGCAAGAGATCCAAGGTACAAAGATAGTGATGATGGAATATTTATCCAAAAATATTCTATCATCACTAACTTCAAAATCAATAAACTCTTTATTAAATCTGCAAGCTTAAGTACTTAGTCAGCTCTATTTTTTTAAATCTAAACTGAAGAAAAGAGAAAAAGAAAAAGAAGAAACTTCTAAATTCCAAATTGTGTAATTTGCATTGGAGACAAATCTCAGGGGGCATGCAAAGTCCGGATGACGTCTAGACGTCTCTAAAACCTTCGACGGTCGATGCATGCCCACTGGGATGTTAGATATTCATCTTGATGCATAGAATAGTTCACATTTTAAAGTTATTTATCAATTTAGTTATAAATTATAACTTAACATGTATTACTTTTGTAAAAGTAATATATTATAATATATTTATATTTAATCTAAATATAACAATTACAGTCAATTTTTAATGTTCAATATTTAATTCACTTAGTTACTATTATTCACTATTCACTTAGTTACTATCTTCACTTAGCTAATAATTGTTCACTTAGTTACAATTGCTAGTGCGCTTTGTTATTACTGTTAATTTTCTGTTTTGTTTCTTAATTCGTAAAATAGATTTTTTTCAAAACTGAACCAAAAAGTGCATTTTTTTATAGAGTACTTTTTTATATCTTATCTTATGTCATATATCTTTACTTCTATTTCAAGTATGTCGTATATCCTGTTCAACACCAGCTTTTGGGGTGGCGAGGTCGTGCGCCGCACGAGAGCGGCAATAAAATTCAGAGCTGAAACTTTTTTCTTTCCCATGTTGTAATATTGTAATTGTAAATTTAGTTAAAAAAATGGCGATAAAACGTTCCTTTTTCTGATGTATGTAAATTTATAAAATAGAGGGTGGTAAGAAAGCTAAGGCGACAACTGATCCTGTTTAATCTTGCAAATCGCTTACATTTTCTTTGTTTTAGCTTTTCTATGGGCTTTATTATAATTTTCTTCAGCAGTATTTTTTACCACGTTTTTATTAGCTCGCTTTCTTGTTTGTTTGTTTGTCCGGGTGGAATTTTGCAACTCAATTTTAACCCACTTTTTGATTAGTTAGAGCTCTGAAACTTTTACTATAGCTCAGAACCCGATGACAATGCAATATTATACTACTTTTACCATGATTTGCCGAGTTTCTTGAACAATTTTAACAAAATAAAATTTATTATGGCGAAACTTTTGGAGGCGTCGCCGCAATTTGACGCGTCGCTTTAAATAAAAAGTTTTCGAACAAAAAAACCAAATTTAACTGTCGCTGTGATTTTAAATGGACCGCAGCATAAAAACAAAACCCGTTGTTTACAAAATATAAAATTCCACCCATCAAAAACTAAAAATAAGAAAATAATATAACAAATAAAAAAACTCTTAAAAACTCAAATAAAAAAACTCTTAATAATTACGATAATATTTGTAAAATTTTAAACGAAAAACGTGGTGCGCATTTAACGAAAAAAAAGAACAGAAGAAGGAAGCAATAGTTAAAGTAATTAAGGACGATGATGATCATTTAAAGTGACAAGATGCGCACAACGTTTTTCGTTTAAAAT